CGGCGCTGCGCACGCCGCGGGGCGGCCGCGGAGCGGCGGTGCGGTGCGCTCCGCCCCCCGGCGCGCCCGCTGCCCCGCCGGGGAAGTTGCGCTCTGTCCCTCGCTCTCCCTGGTCCCTCGGCGACGGCTCCTTCCTCCCCCTCCCTCCCTCCAATGCGCCTCCCGCTCATTTCCTCTTTTCCTCCCCGCTCGCCGCCGCTCCGCAGGCGCGCGGCTCGCCCGGGCGCCGCCGCGGAGTTGTAGCTCCCAGGAAGCCGCCGCGCCCCCGCGCAGCCGCCGCCGCTGCTTCCAGGCCGCCCCGGGACCCCGCTCCGCCAGCCGGGTAAGGAGCCGGGGCTGCTCCGCCGCTGCCCGCGGAGCGGCGCGGAAACTTCGGTAGGGCTGCGGGAGGTCTGCGCGCTCTCTCCTGCCGCGGGGAGTGTCGGAGAGCGAAGCTGGAGGGAAGGGGGAGATTCCTGGCTTTTGGCGGGGGTATTTTCGGGGAGAGAGGGCTCAGAACGTCCTGTCTGGATTGTGGGCGCGGGGCGCTCCGCGCATCTCTTACATCCCCGAGGGGCGCGGAGCGGGGCGGCTGCTCCCTTCGCCGCCAGGAGATGCGGAGCGGATCCAGGCGCCCTCTTCCCGTCCGGGGGATGCGAGCGGATCCCCGCTCTGCCGCCGCGGGGCTGCGGTGTCAGCGCTCGCCTCGCCCCGAGCGGAGGGAATTGCCAGCGTTTCCCCTGCCCTCAAAAAACTCCAAGCCGTGTGTATCTGTGTCCTTGTATGTCTGTGGGTGTACGGATATCTGTACATCTGTGTGTGCGTATCCCCGTGCAGCCCGCGTGTGTGTTGGGCTGTGTGTGAGCCTCCCCGATGGTGAGGGGCGTTTCGCAGCGCTGCTTTATGGTGGTTAATGGTTTACCCGGAGAAGTTCCCGACGCATGAATGTTGCAGGGCCCTTTGAGTCAACTCCTACAGACCCGGACTTCCTATTGCCAACCTTCCCAATCGGCCTTTTAAAAATGCTGGCGTTTGCCTCGGGTGAGTTGGCTTTTTTGTCTCCTCGCCCGAGAGATGTCTGGGGCTGTGCTGGAGGCCGGATGGCTGCGGCCAAGGTCACCCCAGTTCCCTGGAATGCGGGCAAGGGGGGACACCCTACTCCTGTGAGGTTGTGGCAGCAAAGGCATGTGCCAGCCGTGGTTTGCATCAAGCTGCTGCGGGACCTGCTGGAGCACATGGCTCCAGCACACACTAGCTGCCGAAGTAGGGAGAATTGCAAGAAATAAGAAATAAAACAAGGCGAGTGTGTTTACAAGAAAGTTTTTATGTAAATAAGTTCCTGCTCGGTTTGGGAAAAGGTCATCTAATGCATCGTCAGGAACAAAAGGTTTGCTGAGGAAAACAGCTGGGTGCTCAGTAGGTCTGTGTCTCCTGCTCATAGCTGGGTGATTTATTCCTACGTGACAAAATCCTGAGCTTTTTCACAGGAATACTTGTAGTCAAGCACTGTAGCTCAGCATTGTCCTGTAATCCCATTCGCAAGTAAAAATCTGGTAGGAAGATCAAATTTTCTCTGTGGGAGGAAGAAGGGAGGAAACAATCACTCGCTCCCCAAAATATTTTCTGTTTTTCCTAATGGGAGCCGTTTGTCGTAATTTCAGGTTCAAAAGCTCTTCTTGCCTGAGATGAAATTTGAGCAAAGGCTGGGGGACTATTTCAGCAGCCACTTGATATCATCCTGTCAGTGCTGGGGTCCACCAGCATTTTTGGGTACTTTCGGCCAGAGAGCAGAGCCAGGAGGAGCCTTAGCGCTTGTTCCAGGGCCGAGTATCTCAGCTCATCTCGGGTGCTTGGATTGGGAACCCTTTGATTCAGGTGAATGGATCTCAGAGCTGAGTGTGTTTGCTTTCATGTAGTGTGGTGGGGCTTGGGGAAGAAGGCAGATCATATCACATTTTCCTTAGATTCGGCGAGGAGGCGCTGGCCAGCCAGCAGGACATGCATCACCTTGTCCTCACACCTGTTCTCTGCATTTCTTTGTTTCTTGCCTTTCTCTGTGTAGAGGTGGAAGTGTAGGAAACTGTAAGGGGAAAAATGGGTGCCACTGTTGAGTGGCTGTTGCAACACTGTCAGGAGCTCTGCTGAGGAGTCAGCTCTGCTGGCAAGAAAAGTGCTTTTGTTGGCATAGCTTAGTCTGTTCAGGGAATTGCTACAGTGCTGGAGTGGGGTTTGCTCTTGCAGCTGGCTGCTTGCACCGGCAGGAACTTGTGTAGGCAAACCTTCTAGCTCTCAGATGAGGCTGCCACTCTGCTGGTGCAGGCGATGCTTTGCTCGCTGCGTGTCGCAGCTGGCACTGTGGTGCCCCCGTTCTACCACCCAAGCTCATGGGCATGGAAGTAACATGGGCCAGTTGTTGGGAGATGGGGATAGAGATTAATTTGTAGCCTAAGCAACATTAAACTTGGATTACGACTCCAAAAAAAAAAAAAAAAAAAAAAAAAAAAAAAGAAAGAAAGAAAGCATGTAATCTGGGTTTAGAAATGTTGCAATTAAAAATCCACATGCAATGTGATTTTTTTTTTTTTTTTTTTTTTTTTTTTTTTTTTTACAAGCAAGGCAGCATTCTTCTGAGTGTTGATTACTTTGACATGAGGGAGACAAGAATGCTGGTAGACCAAGGGGGCAGTGTGGATTAAAATTCTATATCCTTGGGTTTTTTACTTCCTTTTAGTGATGTGAAACTGTACGCAATGATGTCGCACTGTTTGCATGTGCAAGATGCACTGAAACTCATGGGAAGAGGATCTCACACTTTTCCAAAGAACTGCTGGAATTTCCTTCAAGCATGACTTTTAGGTCAGATTCACAAAAAAATGCAATGTGTTTTCCAGTTAACAGAAGAAATACAGACCCTTCTTTTTAAATATATTTTCCATCGTGTTCCTAGGATGCTTTTTTATATGTGGGATCAGTTTTTGTTCATTATCTGTATTAGAAAATTGTTTGTGTCCAGCATCTGTATCTTCATTGAGCTTAACTTGGATACAAGTTAAATTTCTTTTGGCAAGAGGTTTATCTTACATTGTGTTAACTGTGTTACTGTTTTGTGTGTGATCCTATCCATGGATAATGAAAGGAGTTGCTTTTGCAAAATTGTTGAAGTTTAGCTTTAATGAACAGAACTTGTTTTCAATCAGTGCCTAAAATTTCCATTGTTCCAATAATCCTCTACCAGCCAGAGAGTATGAGAAATGCAAATAGTTATCTTTGCTACATCAGTCTTTTGCTGTATAAAAGGTTCCACAGGTCGGTTTTGTTTTGCTAACCTGCTAATTAACCCATTGATTTCTGCATTTCTTGATTTACCAAGATAGATATCCTCTGCCCGTTGTCATGCTCTGCTGGCACAGTAATTGTGAATCCTTGAACAGTGGGGGCAAATACTCTATGAGGAGTTCCTTACTTTACCTCTCAGACTCTTTTCAGTCGATAGGAGAGAATTTTCATCTGACTCTCCTGGAAATGTGACCTTTCTGGAAATCTGGTGTTGCTTAATGACTGAGAGACCCACAGGGTCGACCGCAGGATGAATTATGCATTCTCCTGCTCTGATTGTGCTGGAATTAGAAGGCAGGAGCTGAGGGGGGGAGGGCAGATCAGTCTTGTAATCTAAGAAATATTGCAGTTCTTCTGGATTGCACTGCATGAAAGATGCCTTTATTATTATTATTAAGAAATGCTGCTTATCATTTGCGCAGTAGGTTTGTAGATACCTGTGAGTAACCAGGGTGAAAGAAATGGCAATGGTTCTTGGGTCGTTTCAGTGTTTCTTATCCTGTAGGTGTATATCTTTTAAAATTCAAAAAGAGTAGCAAGTAATTTAAGGAATTCTCCCTGGTGGTCAGTGTTAATTGAGACACTTGCAAACCCATGCCAAGCAGCATTCCGTTCAAAAGATACCAGCTACAACCTGGCCAGCCTTTTCCTTCCCTTGCATGCCACGTATTTCCCAGTGATTGAGCTGCCTGTCTGAAGGGACACAATCTACTTGAAAAAGCAGCAAGAAAACTTAGGCATCAGCCTTTGAGAGCTTCTGCTAGTTTTTTTGGTGACTCCTTCAAATATGTTCTAACCGTTTTTTTCTTTTTCTGCCCTCTGTTTTTAAAGGAAATCAGGCTGTCTGATGGGGAAGAGTGCAGCTGCATAATTGCATGTTTAACAGCTGGTGGGGAAAAAAGGATGCTTGCTAGTATTTCAGTTGCTGTAATCTTAATGCATTCAGAGAGGTGTTTAAGTTGATGGTATCCCTTTAAATATCCACTTGGGCTGGAAAGCACTGGATTGGTGACAGAGACTTCAAGGGTGGAAGGCATGGCTTGCACCTACAGAGATACTTGCTGAAAAACAGGCGTACTGAGATCCTGATATGTTTGCCAAGAGCAACAGCTAAACTTGGGCAGCTGGTTTAGCAATTAAATAATGTTTTTGTTTTGGACAATGGGTTTATCGTATTGAATTAGCCGGTGGACTAGTCAGAGTGGCAAAGGGGTTTGTTTTTGATTCACCAACCATGCAGCATACCTGCTTTGGGCACGTACTTCCCAGCAATGGAAGTGCAAGAAGCATTTCACACCAATTGTCTGGGAGTGGGAGCATGTACACTTGTGTGTGTCCCTTGTGTGTAAACTCCAGATTCGTGTAATCTCTTGCAAATAAAAACGTGATGGATGGTACAGCTTGGGCATGGAATAAGGAAATACATGGTGCCTTGTGCTTAGATGTTGGCGTGTGGCTCATGCAAAATCATTTTAGAATAGTCGGGGGCGGCGGTGGGAGGAGGGAGGAAAATAAATGCCTTCAGGGGGCTGGGAGCCAGCGTGTGGGCGGCTGCAAGCCGGGCTCGCCAGCCTTGCGCTTCTCATTCACCTCTGCTCCGCACGGCCTGGCCTGGCGCTGCAGAAAGGAGCTTTTCCTTGCTCGGAGGTAGCAGGAATTTTTTTCAGGTTTCTTTTCTTCTTTCAAAAGGGCATTATGTGCAGGATGCTCTGTTCTTGGCAGCTCGCCCACTGTGTGAGGGGAGAAAGCTCACTGGTTTGGTCACAATGCAGATAGCCACTGTCAAAGCCAGTTAGCGTATGCAGGGCATCCTTTCCTTTTTCTCGTAAATAAAACTTCTTTTTTTTTTTTTTTTTAATTTGGCAGGCAAATTTTGTTTCTCCAAACACAATCACTTTCTCTTTCTTAAAACTTATCTGGGGAGAATTTCTTTGTAGGGCAGCTGGGGGTTGCTGGCTGAAAGCTGCTAGTGTGTGAGAGGAGAGTGGGAGTTCCATGGGAGGATGTTGTGGATGCATAACCATTAGCCCCAACTTTGCTTATAAAATGTGTGCTCAAAA